GTTCGAGGCGGAATCCCAGTGGCGTCAAGAAGCAGCAAGCGAAGCCTGTGCTGGGCGTTGGCGCTTGCTGATGTCAGGAGGAATGTAGGGATAAACCGTCTGGCGAGAAAAACCAAGGGAGACGTCACTCTCGACTCTTCGGTGTTTGTCTCCAGCGTCAGACGAGTGGAAGTTCTTCGGACAAGGCTGAGACTCAGGCGCGCAGGACTGATTCATGGACGGGCAACGCCATTAACAGCCACCTGTGTCGTTGGACGGTATGCAGGATTCTCCGATTAGAGACTAATATACATGTTTCCCCAGCACTTGCTTAAAAGCGTTATAATTGTTTGTCTGTCTAAATTATTCTTCATGTTTATTAGTGTGCATATGTATTATGCAAATAGATTCATACACATCATGGGGTAACCTTCTTTTTGCAGTAGGCCTACATAATCCTGTTTACAAGTGTCATTTTTTCTTTCTTTCTTTCTTTTTCTCTTTACATTTAGTGTTTAATGTGAGGTTTAATAAGAGGTAAGTAAAACGATATATATTCTTGATGCATTCTAATTATTGAAGTTGCAACAACAAGAATGGCGTTGGCACCGTTGCAGCGCTCAGACACCGGGGGTCCTGGCGTCCTAGTTCCGGTCCTTGGAGAAGCGGTCCGGGTACAGCAGCTTGTTCATCTTCCTCGGGAGATTCCTCCAGAATTCGATGTCCTAAAATAAAGGGGAAAATGTATATGGAATCTATGTAGACGTAGTTTTAGACATGCGCTCGGAGAATACGGGCATTGACAGCAAGCGATACCTTTTCTGCTGACAATGAATGCAATGATCAAAAATTAAGTTGTCCACCTTTTTTACTGAAATGCGTGAAGTGGAAAATTAATGGCACTGATTCCTTGTTAAGAAATAGGCTTGCATCAGCGTGATCGCGATTTGAGGCCCTGTGGCCGGGCGCAGTACCTGATCCCTGTCGTAGACCTTCATGGCGGGGGCGGAGGTGAGGCCGAGGTAGGAGAGGCTCGATGTCGAGGTCGGCGTCCACTTGAAGCCCAGGGCCAGGTCGGGCGTCGGGTTCCTGCGAGAAAGATCCTTTAGTGGATTGCATGCTTTTGTGCAGCAAATAATCTGACGTTTTTGCAAGAAAGTTATGGGACTTATTGCTCCTCCAAAGAGCTGGCTCGCAAGTGCAGCGGTGTGTCACATCAGCTCCCAAGACTGGCTCGAAAATTACCCGTTATTCGTCCTCCGTTAGAAAGTCTTTCCCTCTTACCCGGTGGCGGCGAAGTTGGTCCAGAGATCCACCATGATCCGGGACACGAAGAGGTCCTCGTCCTTGCTCAGGCTGATGTTAAGCTTATCGAAGGGGAAGAGGTACTGTAGGTCGTCCGAATCGCCCACGTCTGTGTGCGAGAGAAAGCTTTTGTGTCGGTCGCCGTCAGAGTGAAAATCCTTCATTTGTAGATAAAGCGAAACAAAATCTTACAGAGAAGTGTATCACAGTCAAACCCAAGAAAGCCTCTTGTCCCCGAGGCAGGGCTTCTCACAGGCCAGGTTCCAGGCGGGCGAGGGTCCCCTGAACAGGTCGGAGAAGGCGTGCTCTCCGCGGTGCTGCAGCTCGTAAGCAAAGACTCGGTAACCGAATGCGGTGTCTCGTGCGTGGTGCTCGATGGTCTCCACGTTGCACATGCTGTAGAAGCTGTCGCCGAGGAGCTTGGAGGATAAGGAGGGTCGGGGTCAGGCCGAGGTACTGATGCAGTTGCTTCAGAGACAATTTCTAGATCAGGTTGTGGCATTTGGCGATTTGGCTGGTCTTACCTTGACGAGAGGATCGATCTTGGTCAAGTCGAACTCCATGGGCCCCAGGTACCTGTGGAAGGCCAGGCGGGCCAGGTACTCGGGGTCGTCGTCCCAGGCCTCGAAGCCGAGGGCGGGGGGTCCCACGAGGCTGAAGTTCTGGATCATACTGTCCACGACACCGTCCTCCACAAACGCTGCGGGAAGAAGCGAAGGAGAGGTTCCAGATTACTTGAAAAATCGACCGCAAGTTGTTGAAATATTATTCAGAGGCAGGTGGCATCTCTCACCTCTGGCGTTGAGAGCTCCTTCGTCCCGCGTCACCCCGGACAGGACGTCGACGCGGTTGTAGCGGCCCTCCCTGACCAGCGTGGCGGGGTGGTCGGGCAGGAACTCGCCGTCCACGCGGGGCGTCAGGGCGTACGGGGAGGGCTGCGGGCGGAGGCAAGGGTCACGTTTCCTTCTGTCCGTTTACTGGTACAGGGACACATAAATACACATAGCCATGCACACACATGTAAGCCTTCCACAAGGACGCTGTGCTCACCATGATGTAGGGCTGCACAGCCATCAGCTGCTTGACAGGGACCTCCCTAAGACAGTCGACCAGCGCAGTGCTGTTGGCAGCCTCCCCGCGCTCGCCCGGACAGCCCACCATGCTGCCGAAGCTGAAGGCCACCTGCCGGTGGTCCTCCCGAAGCGCCCAGGGACACAGTGCCGCCCCAGACTGCATGATGGCTCGCTGGAACAGGCCTTCGGCGGGAGAGGGCGGGAAGAAATCAGTGAGAGGAAAAGTATTTTGCGAGCAGAAAATTACCCATCTACCATAGATGTATAAATGAACTTGAGATAGTCTTCAGTGAGTGATTAAATACACAAAGTTTAATTTCTCCCCACCTCTTCTCCACATCTCGAACAGGAACCTATCACTGGCCATGAGAAATGGACTTACCACTGGCCATAAGAGACGAACTTACCACTGGACATGGGAGACAACATGTGGTAATGCACTGCCGCGCCCCCAGCGTTTTGCCCGAAGATGGTGACCTTGTCTGGGTCGCCACCGAGGTCGCGGATGTTGTCCTGCACCCAGCGGAGGGCCAGCGCCTGGTCCTTCAGCCCCAGGTTGCCAGGGAGCTCTGAGTCCTCGGTCGACAAGAATCCTGCAGATCCAAGAGGGAAGTGACCGCATTAGACCTTCATGGCTTTGGCGCAATGACGAGAAAGCGAAACTAGTGAAGCACACGCATTCTTATCTACCGCAATCCAACATATTACCCACTGATCACTGACCACAAAGTCGCCCTTGTATGCAACATGCCAACAGAGATATGGATCGCAGTGGAATCGGCATCGGATACGAACCCAAGACGCCGAGGCGGTGCTGCAGGACGACGAGGACCACGTCCTTCGCCAGGAGGAACTCCGGCTGGAACAGGGGCGTCACATCGCTGATGAAGCCTCCCTGGGGAAGCCACACCATCACGGGGAGATCGGTCCGGTTGGGCTGAAACGCCATTCGGAGTTACTAGGAGTTGCAGGGTTGCCAACGATTGAAAAAATACACGCGAAAATTACTGTTAGTCAGAGAAGCAAAAGATGAAAAAATGACAAAAGACGAACGCCCAAATCCCAGACTGATAAACTACCATTTCCTACTTTGTTATGTCTGTGTTTCCTACAAATTGGCCAAAGGTGTATCTTGCATTGCATTGGCAAGGGCTTATTGGTGGGCTTACAACTGACGTAGACCCTCTTTACTTGAGCAAATTGTAGTTGGGCAAACAGCCCTCACTCCCCCTTTCCTCCTGCAAATAATACTCGTATATGCCCATAATCACAGAGTGCCCATTCCATATAATGATAATCCTAGTAATGAGATAGCAGTGATCCTGAAACCTATCTGGAAGATAGTGAGGGGAATAAAGCTTATAATTTCACTAGCTGTTCCCCAGCAGCGCCCCCACGACATCCAACTACGGTGCCTTCGCCTCCTGTGTCTGCCCTGTCCCAAGGGCGCCGCCCCCGCGCGCTCCTCTTCCACAGGCGACTCACCTGCGGCGTGTACACGGAGAGGTAGAGGCAGTCCTCTTGCGTCCAATCCGAGGGCGCGTCCGGCTGCGGGCACAAGGGCGGGGCCACGGTGCCGTTCCTCACGCCCTCCCACGCCCCGGCGGCCACGGGGTCCTGTGGAAGGGGTCGGCGGATCTCAGGAGGAAGTCGTAATTGGCACTCATGAAATAACTAATTGCTGGCACTCGCTAGGGAATGGAGTGGAACTGGGATTCCGGTTGGTGGACAGGAGGCACTTTGACCAACGCCAAAAAGAAGTGTTATTGGATATGAAAAAGGAATGTAAAGAGAATAACTTCTAAAATGGTTTTAAGAAGAGATCAATGACCTCCTTAGGAATATCCAAACTCCCTTGCTATCCTTTTGGTCAAGAGGGACTTGTGAGGCTTTTGTGCCCCTCCCCCTTGACTCTCCGTCGCCCCCTGACCCCCCGCCGCTGACCTTGAACCTGAGCGCCCCGACCGGAGGCTGGGCGAAGGGAATGCCCTGGAAGCCGTAGAAGGCCCTGCCGCCCTTGGCCTCGGACCTCGAGCCCACAATGGCGCCCTGCTGGAGCTGCACCTCGACCGTCTCCTCCGCCGACGCTACTGCGCCCAGCCACAGCAGCACGACAGAAGCCAATAGCAGCTGCATCTTCACTCTGCTGACGAAGGAAAGTCGTCTTGTAGTTACCCATTTTTTCAATGTTTTCCATTGCTTTGTGTACGTGAGACGCTGCAGCAGGGTGTCTCCCGGGACATACCTTTTCGGAATTCCTTCTTCGACTCGACTTTCCAGTGCGACGACGGGCGCTGCCGCGATTCTTCCGGAGGTTGAGTCGCAAGTGACTCCCGGCTTCGCTGCGCCGAGTTTTGAAGGGGCGCGGAGGGCGGGGCGAGGGGGGTGGGGAAGGGGCAGGAAGGGGTCACGTCATCCTTTCCCAGGAGCTGTGGTCATGAGGTCTGCTTATCTCTTACGAAAATGATTACGGGTTTCTTGTTCCTCCTTATCAGGCCTTCCTCTGTTTTGCGCTCGATTTTCTCACAGCATTCGTCGGATAAAAGAACATGGTGAAGGACAAAAGGAAGAAGAGGAAGACGAAACCGGAGGAAGGGGAAGAGGAGAGGAGGAGAAGAAGAATGAGAAGAATTAGGAGAAGGG